CAAGTAATAAAGCTTTATCTGAACTTCAAAACACAAAGTGTACTTGGCCACAAGGGGTAGTAAAAGGCCAGATACCCAAGATAAAGGACACATGGCTTGGGGCCCAAGTAGCTCCTCACCCAACAGGGGCCTCAGAGACTACACCCTTGCTGCTGTCCGCAGCTTCTTTCTCTGTAACCCAGGCAGGTGGATCTAGATGGGGCAGTAATTTTACTCCAGGGAAATGCAAGGCCCAACTTTTTTTTCTGAAAAATAAATAAATAAATAAAAAAGAGCAAGTACTACAAACTACCATTTTTCAAATGTATATAGACACTATTAAGATAAACAGGAAGGAAATTCAGAGCAACTGCCCGCCAGGCTTTTTTGTTGTTGTTGCTTTGTTTTGCTGCACAGAGAAATGACCCTGGGATCTTGCTGAGGGGCTATTTTTTGTTTGTTTTGAGATGGTCTCCCTAATTTTTCGGTAGGTCTCTATCTAGCTCTCACCCTTGAGCACCTTGAGCTCACAGGAGTTCTCCCCCACACCACAGCAGGCTGTCAGGATGTAGCATTATGTTGTGTAGGCTGGTCTAGGATTTGTGGTCTCAAGTGATCCACCCACGTCAGCCTCTCTAACAGCTGGAAATTTAGACATAGGCGACCTCATCCAGCTTAAATTCTTGATCATAACTCCTTTATTTTTATTTTTTGGGGGACTGGGGAGTTAGAGGGAGAGATGCTGGTTCTGGGGCTTGAACTCAGAGGCTCAGTGCTGTCCCTGTGCTTTTTTGCTCACTCTACCACTTGACCCACAGCTCTACTTCTGGCTTTTCAGTGGTTAATTGAAAGTAAGAATCTCATGAACTTTCCTGCCATGGCTGGCTTCATACCACAATTCTCAGATCTTAGCTTCCTGAGGAGCTAGGATTACAGGCATGAGACACTGGTACCCAGCATAAGAAATTTCTTAAAACAAGAATTTGCAAAACTTACATCTTATGTAATAATATTGTTTAATGTATGTTTAATATATGCTGAGTATAGTCATATACAAATATTCTTTCAGTAAATATGGTACAGATGGAGGCCCACAAGATTAAAACAGATCTGAAAAATTCTCACCTAAATATTTCTTCTATACCTTCCTATGTTGGTATATATGTTGTTTGTCTTTTTTTTGGGGGGGTGCCAGTCTTGGGTGCGGTCCCTGAACTTCTGTGCTTAAGGCTAGCACTCTACTACTTTGAGGCACAGCTTCATTTCTGGCTTTTTTTTTGTGGGGGGGGGGAGTAGAAGGGAAGCAGGTAGTTAACTGGAGATAAAAGTCTCACGGCCTTTCCTGCCTGGGCTGCCTTTGAACCATGATCCATACTGCCTATGTGTATGCTAGGCTATACCTTCAAAATTTGTGCAAGGACATTCCATGAAGTTTACAAAATGATTGCCTAGTGATGCACTGGTCTGAACTGTCCCCATTGCTAAGTGATGCACAAACTGGGTGCCAGGCTAAGAAACTTCTTAAAACAAGAATTTGTGTAACTTATGTCTTATGTAATAGTAAGAAATTTAATCAATTATTTAATTCTTCTAAGAATCCTGTGAGGGTAGCTAGTAGTGGTATGATCATTTTAAAAGTGAGAAAACTGAGGATTAGAAAGTTCACTAAAGAAAAACAAACTGAAACAAAACTAATAGAAACAAAATAGTTCAAACCATACTCCTACAGTATTAATTATACCAGTTAGCCATGTAGCAGGTGTTTCAAAATGCACAAAAGCACATGGCTTAAGGGGGGGGGGGGCTGGGAAGGTGGCTTAGGGGCAGAGTGCTTGCCTAGCATGCAGGAAGCCCTGGGTTCAATTCTTCAGTACCACCATACACAGAAAAGGCCAGAAGTAATGCTGTGGCTCAAGTGGTAAGAATGCTAGCCTTGAGCTCAGGGACAGTACCCAGGCTCTGAGTTCAAGCCTAGGACTGGCAAAGAGGGAGGGGGGAGCATATGGCTAAAACAAAGTAATTCCTAAATACATCAAGAGGACAGGCAAGTGCATGTGCACACAGGCGGTGTGCACCCAGGATAATGGACATCAAGGTGTCCCCATCAATGGCAGTGCCAGCCTTGCTCCGAACACAGCCTCTACCATGCTGCCATTTAATTTCAGTCAGCTGCAGGACTGGAATCATCTCAAACCTAAACCAGTCTAAGAATCATCTCAACAATGTTATCTTTGCCTTCCTTTATCCCTCACTACTCCCACAGGTGAACATAGTACTGTTTGGAGAAGGAAGGAAGGGAGGGAGGGAGGGAGGGAGGGAAAGAGAGAAAGAGAAAGAGAAAGAGAAAGAAAGAAAATAAATAAATCCAAGATTCTTGATAACAAAAAGTTGCCTCTCCAGAACACATACGCACACATATACAACCCAAATAAGATACATATATACAGGCGCCGGTGGCTCACGCCTGTAATCCTAGCTACTCAGGAGGCTGAGATCTGAGGATCACAGTTCAAAGCCAGCCC